AATCTTTTTTTGTCAATAGCAGTATAATTAGAAAAGTAACCAGTATTTTATGAAAATTCTTGCCAAGATAGAAACGTAATGATATACAACACTATTCTATAACAAATTTTTAAAAGAAGTTTTGTATAAAAAATAGATTCAATAAGTAATTCACGTAAGCTGATCTTTTATACAATACTGAATGAAAGCATCGATTGTTCAATAAACATAATGCTATATGAATTGAAAGTTTATTAGAATTAGTAATCTTCGATCAGGTCAATATATTTTGTAACAAGAAGTTCTACAATCAAAATTTGTAATTTTTCACAAAAACTACAATAAAATCGTTTCTCTTCGTTCTATAAATTAGAAAAACGATTAAGAACTATATTCATGAGAAATTGATAGAATTGTGAATAATTCCTTCTCTAGAAATAAAATCGATAAATATTAATGTTCAAAACTTTATTTAATAAATGAAGATATAAACTAACAAATTTATCGATATTTTCGTTTACAAATATATTTTAAACGATTTAATAATAATCGTTTAGTTTTTAATCGACGTTCAGTTTTTCGTACATATTGTCGTATATTTACAATGGAATCTTTTAATATCTGTATATCATTATTTAGACGATCACGTTCAGCACTTAAATTATTTATTTTCTTTTTTCCATAGGCAACAATACAAGTTGATGCATCAATATATAATATATCTTTTAACCAACATCGTTTTCGACATGTTGGACAAACTTAAAATAAAAATAATTAAAAAAAATTTTTTATTTAAATATATATCAAACAAAATACCTTTATTTGTTGTAAACCATTGATGAATGCATGATGCACAAAACATATGACCACATTTTAAAGCTACAAGTTGTTGTTGATCAACACCAAATGTTTCATAACAGATAAGACATGAAAATAAATCTTTCGGTATATGATTATTTGTTATCGTTGACGAACATATACTTGTTGTTGTTGTTGTATTTTCATCAATATTTGTTATTGATAATGAAATTTCGTTATTATTCATATGAAAAGAATAAATTCTATTTATAGTTGTTTTTTTTGCCGCGTAGCTAAGAGAAAAAAATATCTAATAAGTGACTGTTGTTATGCAAATTTCGTGATGTCAACATATAGACATGAAACATCTAATAGACAAGATAAATAATGTTAAATTCTAATGAGCACAGGATTGAATCTTAAAATATTGATAGTTCTTTTTTTTTTCTATGCGGAAAAAATAAATTTATTAGATATGAACGGAAAATCAGACATACTCTCATGAGAATACAACGAGTTTTTATAATATCAGTAAGACTCAATGATCCAATAAAATAGTTTTCGGCTAGAAAAAAGATCAGATTAAATATTTTATCGAAAGAAAAAAAAATAGCTTACAAGAATCATAGAGTTGATTTGATCTATTATGATCGAATAAGAAAATTAACTCTACGATAAATTCCTTCTGGGATGTATTTGCAAATTAGACACTAAGATATTTTTTAAATAAAATAAAAACAAAAAAGTTCTATGTGATATTCATTCAAGATTATTTTTCATTCAGCAATAATCTTGTAAAAGTCAAGTTAAATTAAGTCAGAAATAACCGGAAAAATAATATAATGAGTAACTTAATCGATTTTGACATGTCATGTCTGTTTTGTATAATATGAATCGGATATAGAAATTGATAGTGCCAACAAATGTTTATATGAATATGTTTATATATTAAGTTTTTGATACTTAATTGTACGTGTAAAATCAATCCAAGATAGCATTATAATGTGTTTGTAACAAGATATATCATCATTCGATGGAACAACTGTTTGAAAGCAAGGATACTCTTATGATCCTTATACACAATCATAAATAAGGAAAATATTGACATACTTACTATATCATTAGTGATCTTCTTTTTATAGTACAACTGGTTTCATTATGTAACATAATCGTCATTGAAAATTTTTTCTGCCTTTATAGATTTATATTTATTCTAAATCCTTCTTATGTAAACAAATTCTACGATAAAAATCATTTAGGTCGTTAATCAAACAAGAATTTCAATCAATATCAAACATCATAACCTAAATGTCAAGTCGATATCTATATATATATGATCTTTGTTGCAATGTCAACATAAATATAAAGAATATACAATATGCTTATGTGGAATTATATACACAAATAATTATGAAAAAAAAAATCCTAGGACTATTGTAGATGGCTTCTATTATTCATGAAACATATAAAATTTATTAAATGACAAACACAACGTATTCAAAAGAGAATTTTGCTTGAATAGAGATGTATGAATTCATACATAAAACAGAATACATTAAATAAATGTTCAAACAAATTTCTTTTCATCTTCAGCCTTACTCGTTTTTTTTCCTTTAATTTCTTTCATCGTTACATTTCTTCAGCCGAATAGAACAAAAGAGAGCAGAAGAGAGAATACTACTAGAGAAAAAAAAACAGGAAAAAGAAATTTAATGATTATTATCGTTCGTCGTAAGACAAATGAAGAAGTGTTTGTCTATATTTTGCCCTATTTTTGAGCTTTTGCACTGAACATTGGAAATTAAGTTAAAATGACAGATGAAGATACTAGAATTATATTAGTTCTAGACGTCTAGATGTTTTTCTCTTTAAGTCAAATAAGATTTTTGAACATGTCAAGTATGTTCTAATAATCGTATTTTTGTCTATACTTGGTACTTTTTAAACGTATCAACTATACCCTACAACTATTGTAAGTATTATGTTTATAGTCGACAGTCTTTTCTTATTGACCCATTTGTTTATTTATTTTTTTTCTCGGCTCTTTTGTTCTAATTGATGTGAGTAGGATTACCATTATCATCTATACATATATATATACGTAAATTGACCAAGATGATGAATGACGAAGAAATGATGATGATTATTGAACTCGTTTTTCTTCAGCTTACGGATATAACAACTCTCTTGTGATGTACACATTCCATTCTTCTCTGTAATGTGTCTCATAACTCTTGTCATGTTTGTTTGAAGCTTTTTTTCTTTCTTTTTCTTTCCCTCTTTATGGCGGTCTGTTTAGTTGTATAACAACTTTACTCCTATATTCTATAATATGAATTTGTACACATAGCTATTATATACGTGAACTTAATATTAGTTTTTCTATATGAATATTTATGAGGTACATTATATATATATATATATATATATTTAATAATTATAGTCTTTTTCGATAATATCTAATCTATTTCAATTGATGCTTTTAGAATGATATGACTGGTCATAATTTAACATTATTACATAATGTCGAGTATGACTCGATTAATGATCAAAATGAAAATTTAAGCTCATTGATATTTTTTACAATTGTTTATATACTTGTACTTATATCTGGTCTTGTTGGCAATTTTATTGTTCTTTTTGTTATATTTAAAAATAACGATTTGAAACATTTTACAAATTATTTTTTTGCTAATTTAAGTGCAGCTGATGTATTTGTACTTTTATTTTGTATTCCAACTGCTATACATGATATATGGGCAAAAGATCAATGGCATATGGGTAAATTTTTTTGTTTGAGTAATCAATATATTGAAAGCTGTGCAACAAGTGTTTCATCATTGACTATCATGGCAATTAGTTTTGAACGTTTTATTGCTATATGTGAACCATTTAAGGTAAGTATAGTATCAAAAAATATTTAAATTCGATAAATCTCTTAAATTTAGGTTCATGATATATTTAATGAAACATTAACATTAACTACCATATTTTTAATATGGGCAATTGCTCTTATTCTTTCACTTCCATTCTTAATCTTTGCTGTATATGATCCATTATTTAATCCAATAGATTCATTAAATAATACATCAAATTTGGTAACTGTATGTCATTTAGATGCTAATTCAAGTATAGCACGTGCTTGTATAACATGGTTCATTGTTATACTTATTTTTATACCATTTTTCATTTTAACATATATTTATACACGTATTATATTAGAATTAGCCCGTCATCGTGTTGTTCGATTTATGACAATAACAAAAAGTCAACAACAACAACAACAACAGCAACAACAATATGATGATGAAACAAATAGTTTTACTGGTGGTTTAGTTTCAAATAGTGACCATCAACAATCACATTCATTTCTAGCTTACAAACGTTTTGAACAAAAACGTCTTAATACAGTCATTATTTGTGTTGTAACTGTTGCATTTTTTGCTTGTCAATTTCCAGTACGTATTATACAATTAATTGATATGTATTTACGTGTACGAAATGAAGAAACAATGCCACATTTAGTATGGATATGGTTATGGAAATTATCAAAATTACTTTTTTTTCTTAATTTTACAGCAAATCCGGTAATAAAAACAACAATTATTTTTTTTTTATTAATTTTAATTTTTAATTAGATAATATATAATATATTATCAACAAAATTTCGTCGTTCATGTCGACGATTACTTCAAATTCATCGTTCATCAAGTTTTGGTGCGAATTCATCACGTAAAACAAGTGTTACATCTTATCTTTATTCAAGTATATATAAAAATCGTCGTCAACTAAGTAATTCACTTAGTAATCAACAACAATTTCCTTATAATCATCATCAAAAATTTAATTCATTACGTACAAATATTGATAGTGATAATCGAGATCTAGTTCCTGCTGGTAATAATGAAGAAATTTTTACTCCAACATTTCAAGTATTAAATGAAGAAGAAAATGAAAATATTGTTCAATAATCATTTTTTTTTTCTTGACATTTTCTATTGATATTTTTATTGTATTTCCTTCTTTTTTTCCTTGAAAACAAATGAAAATTATATATATATTCACTTTATTCTTGTTGCATGCAATTGAATGTCATGAAACAATTTTGTTTTCATTTGTTTTTAACTATTTTAATAGCTGTCCAGAGAAAATAGACAAAACTTTCTATTTTTGTTGTGGTACTTCAAAAGAAAAGCAATATTAAATTTTCTCCTTAGTTTTTATTGTTTAAAAAAATTTAACACTTGAGTAACATTGATTGAGTTTGTTTGTTTTTTTTTTATATTATATAATGCTTTCTTCTTTCTAATATGGAAATAAATAGAGAAAATATCAGTGTAGTAGTCACCAGCAGACATACCAACTTCAGAGTTAGGAAATATTTTCATAGAGTGATGAAAAAGTTCTCGGAAAATCTTCATTTCTATTAAAAAAATAATGTTTTCAAAAATCTTATACCATTAAATGTTCGAGGTATTCGCTCTTCTTAGTTATACAAAGTCTCATTGAACTAACACAATTGTGAACATTTAATGAAATAAGATGTTTTGGGAACTTTTTGATCACCTTATGTAATTATGCAATGGCTGCATTCGAATGAAATAATAGGTGTTAGGATAACACGTCGCACCATATATTAGTCATTCAGCATCCTTAAGGACCATCAGATCGATTAAATAATTTAACTAAAGAAAATTTACAAATCGAAAAACAAAAGAAATTCTTAATCGATGAATTAAATTAATGGTAACAGACATGTCATTAAATCATAGATGATTAATATCAGAAAAAATGTCATGAAATAGAAGAAAAACTTGATAAATACAAAAAAAGAATATTATGAAAAAAATCAACAAATTAAAAATCAAATAAAACCATTTATTTCAAATGAATTTCATAATACAACAGATGAATAAATAGAAAATTTTAAATATAAATTAATTGAACTTGAAAAACTTATGAAAGAAAATATATCATCATTTCAATTTAATTCACTTCCTATAAATACAAAGTTAATTTCATTTACTGATAAAACATCTATATTATCATAATTTTTTGATTTTAAAATGTCTAAACGTGCATGTCAAATTAAATTTAATGCATCTTCAATGACTACCGATGGGAAATTTATACTCTTACAAAATACAACACATTCATAAGGTTTATATGAATATGATACTCTATTATTACATCATCAAATCACTTGGTCATCAACATATTTATTTAATATTATTGATCTTCATTGGTCATATCGTCTTAAAAATTTTTTCATTTTAACACATGAAGATCTTTACATTCTTAATAATGATTTTATTTCTAATGATGTTTTAGATAAAACATTGAAAGATTTTTGAATAATGACACGTGATGATGATCATGATGAATTATTTCTAGCTACTTCAACATCAATTGAAGTATATTATCCTGCAGCGTTTAATTTTTCTAAACGATATAATTTAAATAAAGGAAATATTTATTCATTAAGATTTAAATCATTATTATATTTTTTCTGTTCAAATCAATAAATAATAATCTGTTTTCAAGGCTAAGTTTTTTAGCAATTCATTTTGTAAAGTGTTTTGAATAGAAACAGTTTTATTTTATTTTTTGTGGCCATACAATAACAAATAAAAGATATATTAAAGTAAAAATAAAGCAAATTTATATTGGATGGTATATCATTATATTAACTTTAACTTTGTTAACAATTAAAGAAGATAAAAGAAAAAAAAAAAGTTCATTTGAGAAAAATGATATTTGATGAAATATCTAATTAATTAAAATTTCTTAATTGAAATCTATATAAATGAAATACATTCTTTGATGTGTGTGTGTGTATTAATTATATTTAATTTCTTTATTATTATTTTTTTTTCTTTAGGTCTTGTTAAACATTTTTTTGGTACATATAAAATAAAATATCATATTCATGGACCTGATCATGAACCTGTTGAAATTGATTTTACACCACCATATAAACGTATTTATTTGCTTTAGTGCATTAGAAGAAGCTCTTGGTAAAGAAGATAAATTTCCAATAGCTAATGAACTTGATACAGATGGTCAAAAAGAAATTAGAANCAAATGGTTTCTCTAGGCATGTCTTTATGGATATAAATTTAGAATATGCCTCTATCACTGGTAAAAATTTCAGATCGTTTGGTCGACATCTGGTGGAGATATTTAAATTTCTTATCGGGGTGTTATTTATTGGACACCCTGTAGTATATAACGACTAATGCATAAATTTCTAGAAAAATATCGCTTCATTTTTCATCACCTAAATTCTTTTTCGGGAAAAATCATAAGAATTTGTTTTGGTTGATGCAGATGAAATCAATATTCAAAATGCTAATTCCTTAAGAGCTTAATAGAAAATAATATAATATTTCTTAAAGATTAATTTCTTCCATTGCAGCTATTGTGAATTGTTTTTTTTTTTGAATATTGAGTTACAAAATATTTTTAATGCTGATTTAGAATAGATATTTTTGATTTTTTCAGAAAATGTTTCAGCTAATAACAAATGAAACAACGTTTCAATGATCATATTGTAATGAAATGGAGAGAAAAATAAATTTATAATTTTTCTTTTTACTATATCTAATTTTCACTTTTGTAAAAAAAAGAAACAAGAAAAATTCAATTTTTTGTTTGTTATACATAATATTATTATTAGAACTCTTTTTGGAAAGAAAAAAATTTTTTTTGCATTCATTTATTGACAAAAATATCATAGAATATTAATTAAAAAAAAGAAGATACTTGTATTGAATAATCTATAGTATACATATATAAAATAAAATTTACAGCACAATTTGTCATCAAAAATAATAATAATTAAATAAATAAGAGATTACTTTTAATTGATACTAAAAAAAAATTATTATTTTTTTACAAAAAATAAAAAAATTCTATTATAAATGTTTATATGTTTAAAACGAAAATCTTTTACATAATAATAAATATTTCTTCATCTTGATATATAACAAATATGATAGATATTATTATATTATACATTATTAATCTTCTTGTCAAATCAAAATTTAAATAGAAGATATTCTAAAGTCAAATAAGATAAATGAAGAATTCGATATATTCTGATGAAAAACTATTTAGATTTCTCATTATAGCAAATTCAATGAAACAGTAGTATATATGATGCACATTTAGATAGCTAATCTAATCAGCATGTTCCCAACAATATGCGCTATATGTTTCATGAGACTGAATGAACTTTTGTTCTATATATCTTTTCCATCATAGGTAAATTTTGATGGGCTTAAGTTCGATTTATTCAATGACAATAATTACATATGGTAGAAGAGAAGATATATTTGAATGTATGGAATATATATTCGAACGGATCAAATTTACTTTGAAACAACAACTATCAACAGATACTGTTATTGAAAATGAAAAGGCAGATAACATCTTTATGTTGGAAAGTTTTAGTTTTTCAACTAAAAAATCAGAAAATACTGGTGAATTTGAGAGAATTAAAAATTTTGCAAGTTATCATAAATGTTACTGAGCCTTTGTTTATAAATTAATTACTGATATTCAAAATATGCTTGCTCGTTCATTTGTTAGAAGTTTATTCAATGTAATTAGATTAGTAGTGCATGAGCGGACCATTTTTATGAAAAGACCATGAGTTGGACTCGGGTCAAAGGTTGATAACTCATAGGTCGGCTTTCTTCGACCCATCTCATCCCATTGAAACTTCTGATAACGATAGTTAATATAATTTTACGAACAGTCCAGAATTTCGAATCTGTTTTTTTTTTGTTAAATATAGTCATCGTCAGATTTATAGACATTACTTATGAATTTATGTGTGGGTGTAGATATTATAATGCTATTATTCAAATTTTCGCTCAAACTAATTTATGATTGTTATTGCAGGATTATATAATTGGATGCATCATTTTCACTTTAAGACAATCATTTATATCTTAATCAGAATTATGTCAATTGATACATGTATATAGTTTAATTTTTAGCTATTATTGTTTGTTTTATAATAAATAGGAATCAAAAGTCACAAATGATACCTTTAGAGAGCTGATGATAGCCACACTTAATTAAACAATGGTTGAAAATTTCAAACAATGTTTTCTTTCTAAACAAGTCAGATATGTTATTATTAATATAGGAAAAGACAGCATGTGACACTTTCGCATATATCAAACAGATTCTTAATAAAAAATAACTTGTTTCGCATTTTTCTGTTTTCAACTGTTTGTATGTCAAAGATTTTTCGACTACTTCTAATTCTAGAAAAGTTGGGGAGGTTTTATTGTAAAGTAATAACTATCTGCCAAAGCTTACGAGCATCAATTTTTTTATTTTACTGTTTTATGATTGGAAAAAAAAACTTTCTGTTAATCACTGCTGTAATTTTTATGAATTTGAATAAACGAATTTTCGAAAGTTGGACTCTGTTAAGTTATAGTGACAAGTCTTTGATGCATAGATCCTTACTTTTTAACCCCTCATACAAAGACAACTCACCACTGTATGCTCAAGGTTTGATAATAAACTATTTAGCGTATATAAATCCATTTCAAATGTTGTCTTGTTTTTGTTTTTGCTATTATACATTCAAATCATAATTTCTGTATTTTCTTCTAACCTATTGTCTTTCGAGAATATTTGAAAAGCTTGTCATTCTCTACTGCTATTAAAAAAAAAAGAATTCCAAGAAGATATGCTAACTGTAATACTAAAGAAATGTGAGTTAGATCAAACATTGAATGTTTTCCTTGCAAATAAAAGTTTTGTTTCGAATATGATCAGAATTGCTTTTTTCCCGATTACCATTAGATTTCCGAACAATTATTTTGTGTCAAATATATAGTAAATTGATGGAAAAGCTACTTAATTTGATTCAAAAAAGAAAAGTTTCGTTCTCAAAGTATTAAGCTAAATTCTAGTCATTAAAAGAAATTAAGATTACATAAGAATAAACTATCTCCTGTAATTGTTCGAATTTAGTTCTGTAACATTTAACAAGTCTTTAATAAGGCGAATTATTAATCCGGTATTTGGCGATATCTATCATAAATAGTGGTGAATAAGATATCTTTGATTTGCCGATATTTTGAATAGAACTATTAGTATTAATTGAAGAATTCATTTAATTCGACAAATAATTAAAATAATGTCTAACCTAATGTTATTATCGAATAAAGAAAAAAAACATCCATTTATATGTTCAAAAAATGTATTCAATTTAAAATCCATGATAAATCAAAATGTAACATCTACTAATCATTTTGAAAAATTCAAGAAATGTAAATATTCGTCGTTACAACAAAAGAGTTATGCTGATGAAATGGGGAAAAAAAAACGAAAAAAATTACAATCACATCCCAATCGAAATGTTCTTATAGAATATTTAACAGAGCCTGAGTTGAAAAAATTCTCATATCGACATATATTTGCTTCAAAGTTAGCGGGTTTTTTTTCTTAATTAAAAAATTTTATTCATTAGTATTTAAGAAAACATTGTAAACTCCAAGATCTCAAACAATCGAATGTAAAAAATATGTTAAAAAGTAATCAAAATCCATCAGAACATATTCTAACACCTCAAGGTTTAACCGGTGTAAATGAACAAATATGTAATGAGAAAAACAATGATGTTCAACAAAAAGGTAATTTTTCTCGAATGATACTCTCACAATTTACAACATATGAACTACTTCCTTATTGCATTTCTCGAGTGTTATATTTAATCGATTTAATGTTGATCGATCTCATGAGTTTTTGCAGAAGAGCTTCGGGAACGGTTTTCTGGAAAATTTTTTCATTGTATTTTTATTTCACTCTTATTTATCAAGAGAAGCTCGGATTTTATAGATCTGCGTAAGGTCGAAACTTTTAGATGGCATCGTTCAAAACTTATAAAGGCTTTCCAAAAACGTTTAGTTTCGACCAACTAATCTTGGTTTGTCTCAAAACAAATGAAGATACAGGTAATGAACCATGTTAAGTCCATCGATGATATTTGTTTCTAGTATAAATGTGACTTCGGTTCACGAGCTAAGAACAGTTATTGTAAAATTCGAGTTCTTCTTCTTCAAAAATAAGGACGAATAAAACCAAGATACAATGAAAAGTATTCTAGAAAATCGGTTTAAAAAATCTTAAACCAAAAACATATTTCATTGATTAATTTCATGCCGAGCAACTATAGCAAATCTGTTAGATAGTGAGAATTGCAGTTCACTACCTGCTTTTTGTAAAAAAGATATTCACAAAAAAGAGTCATACTGATTGCTCTATGAGAATAACAATATTCATCTGTATTGGTACGGTTTCTATTTTTCAACTTCATCTTAACACATTTTTGTACTCGACGTGATAACAATGAAATGAATCGAGGAACTTTCAAGCTTTACATTTCTTTTCTTTTAATCCATACATTTCATTCGAAAGAAAATCTCTAGTGGTTTAGCTGTCTTACAGAAACAATTCTCCAAGTTCTTTTACTATGACAGATTATAATTAAGTTCATCTTTTTCAGACACATTGATAAAATGAAAATTATCATATTTTTCGAAAAGGTTTTAAACTCAACGCTTATTCAATTTTAGCTATGCATACACAGGACAAAGAATCAATGATTATTTCATGGCTTCCAGTATCCTCACCAGTGTCTCAATATGACTCATCAACTTCTTTCTGTGATATAAGGCCATTGTTGTCCTTTTCTATGCAACCATCAACTTATATTAATGAAGAATATGCGACACGGGTACGTCATATTATTGCATCATGGAATAATCATGAAAATGAGTTAAAATCAATCCATAAAACCAATTCTACGTCAACAAATTCATCTAGGTAAAAAAAAACAGAATTCATTTTTTTTGTCAATATGTAATTTCACCATTACAGTATGGATGATGATATTCATGATCATAAACCAAAGTCATCGATAATAAGTTCTAATCAAACTACCTCAACCATTTCAAATACTCATAACTATTCAAAAGTCAAATTGTCTAGCAATCGTAAATTAATAGACAATGAACTTTCTCATTGTGAATTAAAATCGATGACTAATAATTCCGCTATTCATTATCAATATACTCCATTTAAATCTGTACATCGTCATCATGTAGAAGAATCTCAATCTTCCATACTTTCAGAACTTCTTGATTGTTGTGATTCGTAAGTTTCCAGATTTGTTTTTGTTTATTATTGAAATCAAAATTATTGCACAGTAATCAACGATCACGATCAACATCAATTGAAAACAATTCTGATTATTGGGATAGTTTTCATATTTCAGCAATGTTACGTGAAACAATGTTTAATATATCAAAGAGATTAATAAAAACCGAATCAATACCAATAGTCGATACTCATTGTCATTTTGATCTACTATTTGATCGGTATTACTAATGGATGGGTCGAAAATTTTAAGACAAAATGTTCCTTCATTTTTCGACTGATTAAAATGGTTACTAGAAGCTGTAAAGTATTGATTTAAAATCAGAGTTTTGTACTCATTCCAAATTTCGATTCGGAATTTTGATTAAACTTATATTTTAGGAATTATTAGCGAATCTATGGAACGCCTGAGAAGATAGTTCGAACGAAGACAGCTGTAACTAAAAGATTCATAGACAGAGAAAGTGACCGTATTTCATGTAAAATTATTTTCATGATGCTTTTCAACAATTACATATTTCTGACGTAAAGATGCAGATTTAGTTTAATTCTTATTTCTTTTTGTTTGACGCAAATGATGTTTTAAAAATTTTTTGGATTTTCAGAAAATAATGTCCGCTTTTGTATGCGCTCTAATAGCATAACATGACGGGCAAGACTACTCTACAAGGTGTGTTAAGAATCGAGGCTCTTAAAGTAACCCTCAAGAAATTACCGAATGCATTTTAGGAATCGAAAAATTAGAGTGACTATCCAATCTAGCTTAGAAAATTTCAATGAGAGTATCAAAGTATGCCTTACGGAAAATTGATTATCAAGGTATCATTTGGCAAAGACATGTTTGCTCTTTCTTTTGATGTATTTGGATTAAATTTTACATCTATCCTGTGCGGTTTCTTTCTGTATTCTGAAGTTTGTCCAAACATTATTGTCAGACCTTTCATAGATTCGCTCACAACTTCTAAAATATGAGTCTAATAAAAATTCTGAAAGAATGCAAAACTCTGATTTTAAACCAATATTTTATTGTTTCTAGTGACCATTTTAATCAGTCGAAAAATGAAGAAACATGGTAGTGTCAAATAAATAAATATTTATCTATTTGTAGTCTTTATATCAAACATAATAATCTAAAAAAATATTTTGATGATTATAAAGATTTGTATCCATCTGGTCTTTCATTTGAATTAGCTATTCAAGTTTTTTGGCGACCAAGACATTTAAATGAACGTAAAAACTTATTTTGTTTTTTGAATTTAATTTTAAATATTTTAATGAATAGAAAATTGGATAAATTGGTATTCAACATATTTGAATGATCAACGTGTTTATGGTTCATGTGGTATTCATCCACATTGGAGTTCAGCATGGAATGCAACATCTATTGAAGATATCGAACGATGTCTTAAACATCCAAAAGTAATTGCTATTGGAGAAATAGGATTAGATTTTGGACCTAAGTACGAATGTTATTTATTTTTAATTTCCATTTCTTATTGATGTTTATTTCAAAAGAAATACATGTAACATAGATCAACAACGTCGAGTATTTGAAGAACAACTTAAATTAGCTGTAAAATGGTTAAAACCAATTGTTATACATTCAAGAGATGCATATGAACAAACATTTCATATAATGAAACAAGTAAATAAATAAAAAATAGTATTTAGTATATAAGGATAATTTAATTCAATCGTTCGAAATCATTTACGTTAATAAGCTTCTCTATTTCTTGCTTAATTTTATTAAAGCATTATTAAATAATAACAAATTAAATTACAGAATACAATACACTTTATTTTCATGGGATAAAAACATAGTGTTTCTTAGAGCTTGAAATAGAAGTGTTTTATTAATAAACTAGTAAGAAAGAAAAATGTCGACTCATTTGATTCGAACCCGACAAAAGCTGCCGATATACCGATAGTTGTTCTTTGAACAACATTCTACTGGTGGTATGTCTATGGTACTGTGAACAAATGTACAATATGAAAAAGTCTAGAGAAAAGATCCTCGTCTATTTAGGCTATCTATTGTCAGAGAGAGAACCTTTCAAGATCTGTAATAATTCATATCCATATCAATCTGACTAAGTTAGATCAAACTAAACTATCAATTATCGATTAAAACATCTAATTTTGGTGTATGATTTAGCCAGGAGAGAAAAGAATTCATGCTATTGTAATATCTTCACATCGAATTCATAAATTGAAATCGAAATTTTTAGATTTATTTCTTTTGATATTATGTGTGTCTTCATTTGAAAGTATTTTATCAAGACATAAGCATTTGAAACATCATCTTGAACTGTAATCTTACTAAATGATATTATATTTCAATAGTTGCATATTATTTCTAGTTTGATTTTTTTTCTCTTAGTATCTTGAACCTCATCACAAGATTCATTTGCATTGTTTTGTTGGAACCATTGATGATGTTCATCTCTTTACATCTTATTTTACTCAAATTAAGTTTGGTTTTACTCCAATTATATCTCGTGGAAATTTTCTTCATACTGTTATTCAACAACTTGATCTAACACAGATTTTATCTGAAACTGATGCACCTTATTTTGTACCTGAAGAAGTTATTATTTATTGAAAAATAAATTCATTTAAATTTTTGATGTAAATTTTTGTTTTGTTTTAGCTTTCCAGTCTTTCACGTTGTGCACATCCAAGTATGGTTTATAGTGTTGTTGAAACTATAGCACAAATTCGACAATTATCTATCAGCGATGTTGCTTCTCAATTAAGAGAAAATGCTTATCATATTTATGGTGTTTAAATGATCAATTTGAATTTGTTCTTGTTTTCATTATACTTGCAAGTGTGTATTGTTAGTTTTGAAATGATTTTGTTTTTGTTTTGTTTTGTATTTGAATTCTGTTTATACATTTTTCCTATTATAGTGTTTATTTTGTTGAAATAGTTTTTGTTTTTGAAGTAAATCATTCTAGTTCTTTCTATTATTAATATTTTGTATCAGATGTCAATATTAGCTAGGTGGATGTGGATAGAAAAAACGCTCATACACACAGATATTTCACAGTCGAAAACAGCTCTACAATAGTAGAATGCGTTCATTTTCCATTTGACAATTACAAAGAACATATTTATTGAAGCATATACTTTTCTACAACACAACAATTATTGCTAAATAGAAAGAATGAAAAATGAAGAATTCTATATATATATATACTTGTAATGAATAAACAGTTATAAATACTTTTGCACAAAATAGAATTTGAAACATAGTTTTTAGTGCCCACTATTGATAATCACAGTTCCTTGTCAGAATCTAAATATTTTTTGGAGGACGTAAATCCAATGATAAAATGCTATGTTGGTTACTTCTAATAAATTGAATCTTTTGAATTAATTTATAGAGTAAACAAAACATCGGATGACTTTTTTATTGATGAAATTACAATAGTATGAACACGAGAAATATATACAGAAGACTGTTATAGTTGGGATATGTAGTTTGAATAAAACAGAAGATCGAAAAAGTATAATCACTAGTAGAGCAACTAAAACTGAAGTGTAATCTCTCCATTCTTTCCAAAGAAACTGTTTATAAGCATAATAAACTTTTAATAATATTGTGTCATCAATGCTTCACTTAATTATGATATTTATTTTTTCCGATGTTGTATAATTACAAGATGATCAATAAGCTATTAGTATCACAAACATTTGATGTTAATCTTTGTTTTAATTTACAAGAACTTCTATCGGAAATACATTTAAACGGTTCTCCAAAAAAATTAGTTATATAACTAGTGAAGAACAGTGTTTTCGTTGTTTCAGTAATGATCTGCTTGTATTTTTCTTATAATAGCACTCAACAATTATCTTACATCAAAATTAATAGAGGAAAAATAACTGGTCAATAAATAATCACATTGCATTATTTTTATCAATGCAGAGCATTGAAAAAAAAAATCTGTTAGCGTAATTCCAGCGGAATTTAAATGCGAAACACGATATAGCTTCTATTGCTAATCACACAGAGATCATTTCATTCTATCTATTTTCGACACAGTCTATGAGAGGTAATTCGAATTTTTACTCCTATACTTCAACATTCCTGTTTAGCTCATGTTTTACAAACCAAATGTTTTTAAATTACAATGTAATAAAGGCATGTTGTTATGGTTAACATTTATATACATAGTGTAATATGTTTCATTATTTTACGATGAAACATCAAAAATGTTGATTTACGTGTAGTCTTTCAAAATATTTCGACGTCAATATACCCAATTGCTTAAGGGGCCCCCCCCCCCTCAGAAAATCCATTTTTTGGTAAAGTAATCGAAGTCGAGTTTTTATCATAGGAAGATGCAGCGAAGTTTCCTCTTTCAGAATATATATAAATTTTTAAAAAGAGGCCAAATTTNGCAAGATGAGAACCTATGGAAAACCAAGGTTTTTCATAAAAAACCATGAAAACCGCCTTAGAGAATTTTTTCCTCGAACACGTGTCTCATCATTTTAGGTGTTCTATTTGTGGTAAAAATTTCATTTCGATCGGCCTTACCATCTTCGAGATCTAGAAATGGTCAAAAAAGAGGGGGGGGGGTACCCTTAAGCATTTTCCATTTTTCTTGCTCAATGACAGCTTAATTATATTATTCCGAATCTATTAAGTTTTTTTTGCAAAGTTATTTAAGTGTTTTCAATTGAAATTCTTGAATGAAAGTGAAAAACTGTTAAACTTGACTATTTTGTTCGTGTCGATATAAATGAGATAGCAATATACATGAAAAATAGCTCATATTAATTGAGTTCAGATCAGTTTTGACGATCGATTATCAGTAGGATTCTACGTACATATGAACTGAGTATGCATTGTGAAATGATCTTAGTGTATATATAGAACATTCTGTTGATTTGCTTTTAGATTGAAAACAAGAACCAGTCGTTTATTCATTGGTTCATTCTATTTCAATTTATACATTTTTATGTATTAGGAACATCTATTAGTTATAGTTTCTTGGTACAAGTAATATGTCTAACATTATTGAAGATGGTTGAATCATCTTTGTCTGCAGTTGACGACTTCTCGATGCTGTATACGCCTTACTAGTCGGCTTTTGCAAGTAAATACTTACGTTTTTTTTTCCATTAAGAAAAAATAATATACAAGGTAAATAAATGGAAGACTAATTGTTTCCAGTTCCTCATATATTTAGCGTAGAGAAATGTTCGAGAAGACAAACCTTTAAGAGTAGTTTGGTCACCTAGTAGATAAATTAATCATTTCAATAAATCTTTCACTACTTTCAATATATGCTTGTGTCTAACTTTTGCACTAGTACCTATTTATTTATAGAACGATGTTCATTATCATTAACAGTTCCTGCTGACAATGTTATTAGTTACATATCTATGTATGATATCAACATCACTTTGTGCTTTTATTCTTTCTTCTTAATTATTGTGGTTTAGTTGTTTTTGAATAATGTTCCTCCTAAATATCTTGAAAATCCTTAACGATGATGGTTTTGGTGCCAGAAGATACTCCGCTTTCTCTTTGGCTCAACTGTATTTAATCAATTGATTAGTGCTACCGTCTATCGACTGATCGAAATTCTCTTTGATTTTTTTATGAATATTCATGATTCTGATTCAATCGGTTGGTATCTTTATTTATCTTTTTTTTTGGTTTTTTTTCCTCGATATCAAGTTTGCATCAGTTTTCTTGCTTGACATTAACCTAAGTATTATAAATATAATACATTCAAGGATTGCACAATAGCAAAATATTCTCTTTGAAGAATATGAACGAGACACAAAAAAATACTAATTTTATATAATTTTTAGTTTTGGCTACCAAACTATCATGTCTTCTCGCCATTTGTACGACTACGATATTTTGATACAGAATATAAGAAAATTTTCTCGAATAAGATCAGTTGCTTTATTCTTTAGAAACAAGAATACATAGAATTTATTTCTATTTTCATCGTAGGACTTGCATAGATAATAACACGATACATAATGAATATGTGTAATTTTCTATTTGTAAGATTTATTTTTGTTTATTTTGCTTTTAATTTATTCATTGAGAAGAATGTAAATAAACATACATATTGACAAGGATATGATAAACAATAGTAATGAACATGCATGGTGATGAACAATATAATCAACATAAGCTGCATATATTCATTATGTATCGCTTTGCTACGTAGAATTTAATTCTGTCCGCATTTCTATTTTGATGAAAAGATATAATTTATAATAAATATTGCAGACTTATTTTATAGAGCATATCTTTTTGTTCTTGTATGTTTTATTTATGAATGCACGGCTACTTTTGCATTGTATACTAAAAATAAATCTGGATCATAATATTAAATTTTTGTTTCTTAAATCCATAAATAAATGTCTGATGCAAGAGTCTCTGTACAAAATATTAGCAGTTCATGATGATACCAAACTTTGTAATGCTTTATCAACAACTGAAAGAAGATCAAGAATTGTTTCTTTATATTGCTATAAAATTTTTCCTCTAATTATTTTATAGTTATTTTCCATAGTTGTTCCTGATTTCATATAGCACTCGTATATTACTTGAATTAAAGTTCATAGTATGTAAATAAGAAGCTCGAGTTTTCTCATAATCATCTTATGAAGAACAATAGGATGCACAACATACATGATCTAACTGATTATGTGAATCAATTCGTATAAGTTCTTTCGAATAAAATGCTACTTTTGTAAAATCATGGTCAGTTAAATGAAGATCACGTAATTCATTGCATGCATTTTTGTCAATCTGAAATAAAATAAGAGATAGTAAATAAAAGATTATGCTTTGCGTGTTTTATTTTTATTCTGTTTTTTCTTTTAATTCAACGATATTAAAATACCAACAATAGCTTAAACCAAGAAAATCAGCAGTTACATTAAGGATACATAATGGAGCAACTGAAAACTTTATAGTCTACGTTGTTGATCACAGCTTCAGTCACCACCATAATGAAAGTCATACACTCTAAAAAAAGGGTTTCATAGTAATTCTTTCTAGGGTTCTAGATTTGAGTACCATTTTTTGAACCATTTAAAGTTTCAGCCAAAGCCTTTAGAACGTTTTTAGGCTCAACAGTTTTGAGCTAAAACTCTTTTAAGTTCTAGCTGAAAAGTCTTGAATTTAAAAAGGTTCATAAAATGGTACCAAAATCTAGAAGTCTAAAAGGACTGTTAAGTCACCTTTTTTACAGAGTAATAGCTTGAGCGCCACATATGCTTTTGGCGCATACTTGCGATTGAGGGTGTGGGTGTGGGATAGGAGGAGATCGAGGGTGAGGAGTTCGTTGAAAAAGGCACCCACACCCAGCTGTACTTGTAAACTTAGGGATGCTAGTTATGAATATCACAATTAGAGCTCTCAAAGCTTGTTTTATTTTCTGGCATAGTTCTAACCAACCTGCAGACCCCATTTTTCATTGTTGAAGTCCTCATAAAATAACTATTTCTTAATATCTATAGAAAAATATTTTTTCTAAGCTACAGTTTTGAGTTCTCTACGAATTTGAGCCGTTGATCCCGAGAAAAATGTAAACTTTGAAAAAACAAACGGCAATTCCGGGACAAAGTTGATCATTTTTGAATACATGAGCTTTTGTCTCAATAACTTATTATGAGACCATTTATGCTGCAAGGTCGAATTTGGACCAGGCGGGCAGTTTTTTAAGCTTCCGATTGGTGACATCAGAAACAAAGAAAAAAGGTACGCAAAAGGGCTAAAAACATTAAATATTGGTAGATTCGCTTTTTTTCACTATGTTTCTCTACATATGTATGATTTTCAGTAGAAAGCCAGATTTGCTGCAACATTAAGTTTGAACTGCATGTCTAACTTTTCAAGCTCTGTCGATGGGTAACCTCGAAAACATAGAAAAAGAAGTAAAGCATGGTGAGGAACTTGAAAAATAGTCACATTTGATCTCTTTCTGTTGAGTTTGGCAATAATTGCCCGGTTTTTAGTAAAAAGGCAGTCTTGTTGCAGAGATCAAGCGTCAAGTACGAAGAAACAACGGCCGACTCAGGGGAACTCAAAGTAACAGAATTTGAGTGAACTGATGAAATTTCATGGATGTTTTTCTTTTGTTAAGGAATCGTTCAATTTGAAAACGTTGATTGGATTCACAAGATGCGCGACAAACATGATGATGAGTGTGGGTATGGGTATTTGAGCGTGAGTTTGCTCTTGACTGTCTCACAGAATCAGCTCCAGCTACAGACACACTGACATCTACACCACTACACCCAGATCTCTACACCTACACATACTGCGTGACCATGTATCTGCAGTATACATGATTACTATTATCAGAACTAGGTGAATGATTGAACACCGGATTCCGAGTATCGAGAATAAACGAACTCTGTCACGATGTATTTGGGAACGTGCCAAACTTGGTAACGACTAAATCCGAGAACGAATGAACCTGGCAGTTCCGGTCTGTTACCGAGTTTGCTGCATGCTTAGATGTAACAATCTCTTCTGAATGATCGTGTGGATGTCAAAATAAAAAAAAAACAAGTATTAAATGTATCATTTAATTGAGCTTGCAAAGATTAATTTCTGTCTGGATTCAATTAACAATACACACAAATGTAGAAGCTCTAAACGCTGCGTTCCTTAAATTTTCTTAGAATTATTTTCATAATAAATAGCTGGATAATGGATAAATCTCTATTTTGAAGTTTGTTGAATGTTTTCGACTCTCATTTTGTCTTGTTATAGAGAAGAATTTTATTTTTCACTATGCAAAATCTGTCAAATATGATAACAATCATGTCAACTGTTACATTCTTTGTTGTAGCTAAACGTCATCTATAAATTAAAGCGGAATAAAAAAGCATTTCAGCCGAAAGTATTTTCAGTCCAAAGCTGTTATTGTAATTACTTGCTGTAGATGGTGCATACATCGACAGATGTCAGTTCTCGACTGTACACTCTAAAGTCATCAATAGCACCAGTAAATGGTATGGTAGAGTTGAGTATTCCTTGTGGACAAATTTCTGAGCTGGGAAGACCATTACCTAGGGTCACGTACGTGATTGATTCATTGCTTGCCGTAAAGGTAGTAGCTAAAGGCAGATTTCTCATCTGTCGGTTCACATAGAGACGTAAACCGTTCGTTGGACTCCAGGTTTGTACAACATGATACCAAGTATTCAAGGAAATACTGGGTCCCAATAATGATTGAATGGTGCCATTAAAAACTTGCGCTACGAGTGATAAGTTGGCAGTAAGACCCATGAATGGAGTACACCAACCAGTACCATCTGATGCGTTTGAAACGTGAACGAGTGTACCAGATAGCGATTGAGGCATTACCCAAAGAGATATAGAGAACGGATGGTTCGAGATGCCAAGAGCAGTAAACCCTGATGCTTGAAAATATGAATTGTTTGAGCCACTGAATGATATTGCTTGAGAAGACGAATGGCCCGATATTATAGAGTATGCTGAGGCAGTAGCCAATATTGAAAATGGTCCAATATCGATGAGTGGCAATCTACCGTTATCAAATGTGAACCAGGCCGCGAGTGTAGCTTGTTCGCGAATTTCACAAGAAGATTTAACTCTATTGGTGACTGACAACTGATCTATGTAGCCCTATAATGGAATGAGAGATCATTGATTTGTAATCAATATAGAACATAAACCAGTATTTCTTACATTTCACTAACGAGTAGAGTGTAAAGTAAATTTGATGACTGCAACGAGGAGGAATTATTCAAGACCTGTACTACTTAACTGAATGAATTTTAGAATAATAAGAAACCCAAAAAAGATCAAATGTTTATCAATCAACTGAAATAGAGATTATTGATCAAAATAAATCTGACTATTATCATATGAGTCTGGCAAACTATCACCTCTTACGTATTCTCCAATAATTGAGAATGAGTTTTTCAAATATCGATTAGCTGATTTCCGAGATCTTGATGAAGTATCTATACTCAAATAGATATCAAATTCTGGTTTAAATTTTCAAATTAAATACTTTCATCGACTGTCTGATTTTTTTTCATATATTAAGAAACGTAATGTGCTAGACATACATACCTCAAAAGATTCGTTAGCAAGAAACATGCTTGAATCGTAACCAATTGAAAAATTACTCGTGGCCACTAGTAAAGGATTTGACGCATTGCGAGCACTATCAATATATCCATTGAGATAGATTGATTGTTGAAAAGTACTAATATCAAATACGAATGCAACATGAACCCATTCGTTAAGTGATATTATAGTCGCTCCCCATAAATCATTGTTGTAGAAGCCGAGATACAAATAGCAGCTCGTATTGTTCTTGCGAATACTTAAATACAAGCAATCGCTGTCATTAGTCAACGAACACATTGCAGCAATAATGTGATCGTTGGGGTTAGGATAGCCAGTGGGATACAACCAGGCATCAATTGTAAAGCTGGTATTCACCAAAGCAATATATGACGTTGACAACGACGGGTTCAAAGTGGAATTGAGTGAAAGAGCTTGATTAATATACCCGGTGACATATGATGGGGTTTGGGCTGTGGCAGTTATGTAATTGTTTGTACTATCAATGACGGTTTCATCGAATGACCATTGAGCAAGCAGGTTAATTGATGAAGCCCATGTTTGACTTAAACATGAACCACCGCAAGAAAATGGTACCGTGGTAAGCCTTGCTGCTAAACAAACATTTACAAGATTAATCACACTTCCAAAGTATTTTCTTTTTGAGCTTTTCTAATACCTAGTAGTTGATTCGGATAAAAGTAGATCCTCTTTGTGAAGACCGAGTTTCACACTCTTCTCTTATAACGAAAATTGAAGCACACCATAATATACAACAAATCAAATTTTTGCAATGATTCTTATTTAGGGGGGAGGGATCACTTCGAAAAACCTTGTCACTAATCGGAGACTGGGATTTCTTTTTATCAGCATTTGAAGTACTAAGAGAGTGATGCTGATACGAGTCATCATGATGATCTATTTATGTCATATGCATATCTCCAGTTGTATATCTTTTTCTTGGTGCGTATCCTTATATAGCGGTCACAGAAAGAGATAAAGAACAGATAGTTACGCGGTGGCATAACAATAATTAGTGACAAGTAATGTAAATAACGTGCAGAACGTATAGCTGAAAAGTAATGATCGAAAGCTGTTACATGCAATCACCGAAATGGAAGCTTCCATAAGCAACTAAAATCAATACACGTCGAGCAAGAGAAAAAAAGCAACGTCAGAATTTCAATCAATGAAAGAAAAATAATGCAATGTCAACTGTAAAATCAATATTTCAATTCTACTTCGGTCATTCAACAAAAAATTAATTCATTTTTTTTCTTTTATCTATATATAAAATTAATAAGCTATTCATTTTTTTCTTCACAATAAATTATTTCTCACTATTTTGTTTTCAACTTTGATTGTCATTTTCTTTATGCTTAACGTAGTCTTGGTGATATTGATGATTGGAATGTTGAATATTCTTGTGTGAACAGTACATACATAATTGAAGGTGGAGAATTGAAGTTAATGAGATCAATTCTTACTTCTGAAAGCAAATCGACACAGTCCGATATAGAATCAATGACACAAGTATTCACACAGTAGGAAGGAAACCTTTCTGTCATTCTTCTCAAGTGGTTGAATTGACTGTTCGGTCGATAGGCTATTCTCGCAATCATTCATTAACTACAATTGGTTCTGTATTTTTTTCTTTCTTTTAATTCGTTTCATTCCTTGTCATGCATTCGCGAAAATTTGTTGACCGGAGACTGTTATCACTCAAGTTTTTCTGAAAGTTAAGTATCGTAGAAAATTTCGCATCCATTTATGACACTTGACCACTCGTGGTTCTTTGTATTCTATATCAGCATTGATTGGAGTGTTGATGTTGTTGTTGGGCATTGAAAGGGACATTTTTGAACAACGACATGCAAGAATTCGTTGGTCAGAGTGGTCAGTAGTAAACATACTCGCAAGGTGGGACATATAGCTGTTGATACCATGGCGTACTCTATGTTCACGTCTCAAGTCGTATCTCTTCTTTTCTGGTATCTTCAGTTAGTGAGTAGGAAATTTCTCTATAGTTTGTATAGGAGTTTTCGAAAAAAAGATCGACCTCTTAGGGAATCACCGAAAGAAATTACACTCTAACCGAAGTAAGAATATTGCCGACGCCCTTCAATAAGAAATTTTCAATGCTTTTTACAGTGAGAAGCTGTCAAGATTTTCCTGAAAGATGTATGAAGATGCTCTAATGTTTAGTATTTTACTTTTAGCCTTAATTTGTATGAATTATCATACACTTGTTAACTGCTTCTCTCTATTTCAAAAAAGAACTGGATTAGTGAAGTAAGAAGATCAACTCCAATTTCAACATAATAAAAATATCATCTTGCACTGAATGGTTCAGATTTGTGTCTTTTGACACCCTAAACTATATAATGCCGTAGAAATGTTACGATTTAATGGTATGACAAAGCATATTGGTATAAAAAATTCAAATGTTTAGGCTAAATATAGACGACGAATCTACCGTTATGACTTTCTCGTCGTAATCATGTTCCTTTCGGACTAATCCTACTTTCAATGGTACAGCAATATAATACAAGTATACACTACACTTGCGAAAAATGTTAGGCAGATGAAAGATATCCGCTATGAATACTTGTCACAGTACTTATCCACACGATAATAACTATAAATATGCTTTGAAATATACTTCACTTTGACATTTTCGGATGAGATGGACATTGAATGTGGTAGTTAACTACCAATGAAAAGATCCGTTGCCATCGTTTCTTGAAAGACATCATTAAAAAGCTAAACTATTTTAGGTTTACCATATAGTTCAAATATCCTCATGAAATATAATCTTTACTATGAATTCACTGCAAATTCGACCAAATCTCATAAGTGTTTCATTTTGTAAAGCAATGCACTCATCAGAACTGAAATGCTTCGTAGGAGAACTACGCCTAAATGTTTCAAAAATCGTCAAAATGCCAGTAGATGACTACATAGATATTCATTGCTGAGAAATATTTCAAATGAAAAGAATGTACTTCATTCACTTGGTATCGTCAAAAAATATGCATGTCTAGCGGTTAAAATATAGATTTTTTAACCATACAAAGATTCTGAGATCCTCTGCTTTGGTCAGATTTTGTTTCACGCGCACATTTTGTCTATACTCCGTTTTGGACATGGTTTATCTATCTGACCAATTTTTTATATCTAGATTCGAAAATCAGCCAAACTAACGCATCTTACTACTACTTGGCAGTAGTAAGTTTTAATTATGAGAAAACAACTAAATCCATACTTGTTGAAGTAGTTATTGATGTAGTGATGGTTGTTATTTGTGATGTTGATGAGAGCCAGTAAGTGAGGACTGTAGCCAATGCTATACCACCGACTAGTACGCCAATGGCAAAACCAGGCGCAACATATGACCACAGAGAGGCAGGTTTTTGTTGATCACTGTTTAATCTATAAACAGATATATTTCAAAAAATTAATCTCATATTTTTTACCCTTCAGTTCGTATTTCTTGCATGGAAACATCCTTGTTGTTGACATTCATGGATGGATGAGATTGTTGTGACTTAGGCATGGGTTCCAATGACCAATCACTCAAAAAAGGATAGATTTTAGTCGTTGTTTGTACAGTCGCCATTTGTAGGTCTCAATAAAATTGCGAATTTTTATTTATGCAATGGGTTGTGTTAAAAGACAATGAATTTATATGCGTTTCAATTATAAACTTTTTTTTTTCTTATTTGCACGAGCAACACACACATGAATGCGTCATTTTTTTCAATTAACACTTCTCTTACAATGCATAAGAGAACTGTAAAGACCTGTCAATGCTGTATAGCATATGATTTGGGAGTAAACTATTTTCCCACTTTCTTATGCATCGCTTCAAAAAAATAATTAAAATTTGTATTAAAAAATGGATGTAGATAAGGTGTGCAATTGTAAATCGAAAACGATGCATATAATCTAAAACAAACTCCACATCTACAGAAACGCTATCGGCATCATCATACTCTTATTAATCGAGCTGATTCGGCACCTTTTGAAAACATCAACGGTACACTTGGTAGTAAACACGTAACTATTGAACAACAATGGTCAAGCATCAAAGAAAAAACATCATTGGCCACAGGTCTTTGCCCCAACCGAAACTTTTACAGTAAATTGTGCAATAAATATATAAACGGACAGCGTAATCGAATGAATTTAACTACCCATGTGTTCGATTGCGCTCAAACTGCGACGCAGTTACGCGTAACTACGTCACAATTGATAAAAGAGATGGCATAGATGAGATTTTCATTTTATTTATATTTTTATTGACAATTAAAAAAAGTTTTTAAACGCCAAAAAATTAAAAAACTTAGAAAAACAACAAAATTTAAAATTTTTATAAAAAGATTAAAAACAAGAATTTAAAAAAATTAGGAAAATTTAAGAAATAGAAAAATTAGAAAATTAAAATCTACAAAAGTAAAAAATTACAAAAAAGAAATAGAAAATTTTTTTGGAATATATGTTCTATTTTTTGTAGTAGAACGAGTTATGGTCCAAAGCCTGATGGGCAGTGCTTTTTATACGGTGTACGTGTGGCTAAGTTTTACTGCTGGAGTGTGACCAATTACAAGTAAGGAGAAATCACTTGTAATTGGTCGGTGCCAATTACAGAGGATCGTACGCTACGATTACTGTGACACAGTTGCGTTGGTCTGCGTCGCAGTAACCGTCGTTTCTAATACAAGCTTTCACTGCGATCAACGATCAATGCGCCGCAGTTACACGCAACTGCGATGCAGAATTGGCTCTGCGTGTAACTACGGGGGTGTGGATGTGGGTGGGGTGGGTGTGTGGGTGGAGCGGGTGGAGTGTGGGTGGAGTGGGTGTGTGGGTGGAGTGGAGTGGGTGTGCGAGTGGAGTGTGGGTGGAGTGCGGGCATGGGTGTGTGTGAGCGTGGGGTGTTCGTGGAGGTATGCATCCTCTTTCTTAACACTCACACCAACAGTCACATTGACACCCGCATCCACACTCATCCCCCACATCCACACTCATCCCCCACATCCACACCCACCCTCTGTGCTTACGCTTTCGGGTACGCAAGAGTGCCCATGGTCGCGCGTTTATGCAAAAAGAGACTAAGAAAAGTCGAATACTGGCAACAGTACCAATCATAAATTGAATTTTATTAAGCAAATTGAACAAGAGAAAATAAATCTACAGCTTCTTTTTCACATCGTTAATAATATCTATCGTTTCTTGAATTGAAGGATGTGTTGGTGGCAGCCATTTTTGTCGGATAGTAAGTGTTTTTTCCAAATATAAAAGTGCTTTGGTGTAGTTACCCATTTCATCATACACCACACCAGTACATGCATAAGAAGTAGCCAAATCAGGAGGATTGCAAGGTAGAGCTATTTCTAGGATTTTATTCACTGTGTCGTAACATTCAAGTGCTTTTGAGTATTTTCCCATGTTGTAATACACCGTACCTATGCTGTTGTAAGAATTAGCTCGATTGCGATGATTCGGAGGCAGAGCTATCTCTGCGATTTTAAGTGCTTTTTCATAAAATTCAAGTGCTTTTGGGTAGTCGCCCATGTTACTATACACTAAACCAATGTTGTTATAGGAAATAGGAAATGAGGGGTGATTCGGAGGCAGAGTTATTTCTTTGATTTTAAGTGCTTTTTCGTAAAAATCAAGCGCCTTCGAGTAATTACCGAGGTTGTCATACACTAAAGCGATGTTGTTGTAGGAAGCACCCAAGTTGGGGTGACTGTTCGAAAGTGATTGCTCTAGTATTTTATGAGATTTATCGTAAAATTCGAGTGCTTCCCTGTAGCTACCCATGCTGTGATACACTGCAGCGATGTTGTTGCAGGAAGTAGCCAAATCAGGATGATTCGGAGACAGAACTATTTCTTTGATTTTATGGGCTTTTTCATAAAACTGAAGTGCATTTGAGTAGTTACCCAAGTTTTTATACACTTGGCCAATGTTGTTGTAAGAAGTAGCCAATGAGGGATGATTCTGAGGTAGAGTTTTTTTCGAGATTTTCAAATCTTTTTCGTAAAACTGAAGTGCTTTTGAGTAGTTTCCCATGTTGTCGTACACTGTAGCCATGTTGTTGTAGGAAGTAGCTAAATCTGGATGATTCGAAGGCAAAATTTGTTCCCAGGTTTTATGTGCTTTTTCGTAAAACTCAAGTGCCTTCGAGTAGTTACTCATATCATAATACGCCGTCCCGATGTTGCTGTAGGAGTTCGCTAATGAGAGAGAATTCAGAGGCAAAGCCTTTTCGAATATTTTATGCGCTTTTTCGAAAAACTCAAGTGACTTTAAGGAATTACCCATGCTGCGATGGACTTCACCGATGTTGTTGTAAGTAGTAGCCAATGAAGGATGATCTTCTAGGAGAGTTTTCTGCTTGATTTCAAGCGATTTTTCTAAAAATGAAGCTGCTTCTTTGTAATCTCCTTGGAACTGCTTCACTACCCCAAGATTGTGGTAAACTCCAGCTCTAGTACTGTCGTCAAATGTCTCTCCAAGTAGTGCAGTATAAAATTCTGCGGTCTTGTCGAATTGACCTATTTTGAGTAACAAATTACCCAGCCGTGACCAACCGGTCTTGCCAACATCATCTCCTCGTATAAATTCTGTGAGTTCACGGAGTTGTTGATCGTCATCTGACGTAAATTTAAGATTAACTTGATAAATTCGACTTTTACTGTCAAGTTTTTGAATATGATCAATACGGAAAACCGTATCCATGGAGAAGAGAATTTCTTCTTCATTCTTGAAGTAACTATGCTCCTGAATGGAGGCGAATGGGGTCGACGAAATGATGGGATCTATAGACATTTGAAAAAGGATGCCCACCATACCGGAATTTTCTATGGCACCTTCGGCAAAAACGAAGGAGATATCTCGATCTTTACTTGTAGATAAGAAATTGTTGAAGGATATAAGTCCTCCCCTGTTTTTCTGGAGTTTGTCGAAATCAACCTCTGATAGTCCTTGTCCCCGAAAAACTTCAAATGTCTTCCCATTGTAAAGATTGATCTGTTGTTTATATAGATTTTCGATCTGTCGGTGTAGATCACAAATGAAAAAGCCCATTTTGATAATTACTCCAGCTTCTAGCATGCGAAGAGACCAGTTCAGCGTTCGGTAAAGGAAAGAGTCACGGCTGTACCACCAAATTGATTTTTGCGGAGAGTAATCACGTTCGAACTCAGCAATATCCTTCAATTTAGCGGAATTTCCGATGTAATCTTTACGCCAAAACTGAATAAAATCATTCTTGGCTTGTTGACCATGCTGCATATCAAGAAGAGTTTCCTTGAACAATTGAGTATACATAAATGAAGGCTCCAATTCATCCAGGTTTTGAATAGAACCATCTTGATTCGCACTCACAAAGCTTAGAGAGATGTCATCTTGATTGTATTGCTGATTGACCATTTGTAGTGCGTTGCAAATGTCCATGATTCCATTATATATACCTTTAATTTTGTTCCAATACTTATTCCAGCCCGACTGTAAGATTCCACTGTTGCCATAAATGTAAATACTATTCAGTTCTGGAATATCGTGGATGAGAGGTACCATTCGATGACCCGTAATACTTGAAACGATGAGATATACTTTTCGGTCGTGGACTTCCGTGAGGAAATCAATACATTCATCACATTGTGTGAACGTATGAACGTCGTTGGTTATGCTTTGTAGTCGTGTGAGTGTATTTTTACAGTCTTCATTTTTTCGATCGAAGTTACCATCAACCCAAAGGACCAAGTAATTTCCAGCCATTCGTTGTCTGTGTTGCATGGCTGTCGATGATGCTGATGTATTTTCTCTAGCAATCATGGTGGTTTTGGAAGTATTCTGCTTTGATCGTTGTCTATTCATATCAGATATAGTTCGTCATTTAATCAGAAGTCGAGAATAGCGAATGATGTTGGTCGCTAAGATAGAGATTTTTTTCTTTCTATACAATTATTTACTGCTGCTTTTTACGACGCAAATTTTTTATTTTTGTTGATCCCCAAAGGTAAACTCTACTTTGGTTCTATTGAAGATATGGTTATCAGCGAAAAATACAAGAGAAAAACATCTATAAAATTATTTATGATATGCTTGTCCTTCCCAACTTTCGTTTGATTTTATCTACTTTATCACTCAACTCAGAGTTGCAACCGGTAACGGTAAACGGCCGGTTCGGTGCAGTCTGAAATTTTTTCGAGCTTTTGGATACTTTTTTTTATCAAAATATCGACGAATTACATGTTTTATTTTTGCATAACAAACAAAGTTTATGCCATCGATTACCATTTATATCAAGGAGCATAAATCAACATATTTCAAGGGTGAGGGTATGAGAGTGAGTCAAAAGCATATCGCTATCTCAATTTCAACCTTGCTTAAGGATCTCATCAGACGGATTAATTGTGCTATCTAGATTGCACTCTACTGATCTTAAGATCAAAAATAAAACATCTAAATGCACGATGAACATATACACATTCTCTTGTTGAAGAGAAGAAAGTCTTTTTAATCCAAGTCATAAATTGATCGACATAATTCCTAACATAGAAGACAAATGAATCCGTTAGTATAAACTCTTGCTTTCCAGAAATCGATTAAAGTCAAATTTCCATTAAAAAATATTTAGAATAATTGATGTCTATGTTTAGATTTAAATAAATGAAAAAATGGAGAGTAAAATTTCGCCGACAGATTCTTGTTTTTCCATTAGTACATTCTAACACTGAGCAGGGAGCTGCATTGACAAAACATAGAAAAGATTAGAAAAGCCTGCAAAATAATTAAACGAAAAACGTTTTTTGAACGCTAGAAAACAGGAAAAACAAAAGAATATCTAAACACTGGCAAAAGAAAACATCTCAAACTCTAGAGACAGAAAATAACCGAAAGAGTCACAAAGGAAAAAGCAGGGACTAGTTCAAAAATAGTTTTTGCTATGGGTATCACTAAGAAAATACTTATTTCTCGAATTTATTCTGAAACTGTTTTCTTCTCAACTATTTTGAATAGTTTCCAATAAATAATTCGAATTTTAGGCATTAAACACTCTCTCGTAAACACTAATATCAGTAAATTGTCGGTATACCGAAGAAAGTTCGAATAAACGTGCCCACTACTTTTTTTAAGCATAGTGTATGGAGAAAAAATGGTCAGAAAATGTTTTCGACCATTTCCAGATACGAAGTCAGTATTAAATGTCTTCATGCATTTTGCATGATGAACATAATTGAGTTTGTGATTTTCTGAATGAATCTGAAAATTTGAAACGGACGACAGTTCGAGCTTTAAGGCACGTTTTCGAAAAAGCTCGTCTGTTTGAATAATTGCTATGAACATAGATGAGAATCACTGTTTCATTATTTCGACATAAGAGCAAAGAAATTGTGTCCATAGAAACGATTTCATAATCGATAGATAAATCACAAAAAAAATCTTTAAGATTAATATATTTTTCTAATAACCACAGGAGGATGTGGGTTGGGTGTGGGTGTGAGTTTTGAGTAGAGTAAATATTCATCCACACCCACGCCCTTAATGCCATTTCAATTTTAATTTTACTATTAAAATTTTGTATGATATATTGCTAGACTGAACCAACACTTCAGAATATTCATAATATTTGTAAAGCATGATGATCGATAAATACCAAACTTTCAACTGTTCAAGGAATCAGTTGACTATTTTCGTATTGCATATTTCTTTTTAAAAATGTGTATTTTTTCTGTGTAAATGTAGCATTTTAATATGTATACTATTCTCTATTATACCAGGAGACAGAAGAGACAAGAGATTTTTCTTATAAATGAAACGAATAGCGTACCAAATATCATTATTTTGACATCATGATTATGATGAGACTGTTTAAAATAATTTCTTCTTCGTTCCGTAAATTATTGTCTTCTCCTTTGGTTGTTGCATTTAATCTTGTTATTCGACGTCTTATTCATCATTATCGTTTCCAAGCACGAACTACTTCTGACATCGATCTACGAGATTCCATATATTTTCAGCGTCGGTCAATATCAAATGTTATTCGTTTAGTATGATGTGGCTCATTCATTGCGTAAAATTAACAGTATTTTTTATCTTGCGTACTTCATTAGCTGGAAAACTATTCAATGAAATTACTCCTGACAATCATAGTGTTTTCATCGTTTTTCCTGATAGAACATATGACACTAATTTCGCTAATCAACCTGAAATAAATAGTATGAATGATTGGGCTTCCAATTTGGTTAAATGTGTACGAAGTGCTGAACAATAGTCGAGCATGGTTAGATAAAGATGAATAGGAATCAACACGAAATATTGCAAAATTTTTTTATCATATACTCAAGCAAACTTCATTTCTGATGTTATTAATAAAGCCTTATGTTCTCTGGATCTCGATGTTGTGTTTGATTTTCGAAATTTCACTGTTGGTCTTTGTCAATAACTTAAAGAAAAAAACGGACTTTCATAAGCTGAACTATTAGGCTGTCGTTGTGTTCTTATGGATAGAAATAAACTTNGCAATCTATCATAGCCGATCATTTCTTATATTATGAGTGCTTTAGTCTCGGTAAATTCATCTTTCTTCATACCTAATTTTTTTAAAAGATACCGGAAATGTCGGTTGTTCAAAATTAATCTCAGGTTAACAGGTTACGATATGGACAACCTGTAACCTGCCCTGTAAAAATTTCATAACCTGGCCCTGCCCTGCCCTGCTATTTTCGCAGCCTGCCCTGTCAGGGCAGGGCAGGGCAGGGCAGGTTACCTGCATCCTGCAGGGCTCTAATCAGAAGTCTACTTTGATCACTATGTGAATCACGGAATAGCTGCATAGAAGAGTGTGAGGTAGGTGTGGGTCAGAGATAGGCACGAGACAGGACACCAGAGTAGCAGGCCCGTTCTATCCTATGCCGATCACTGTTGTGGCTGTCGGTGGAAGTGATGGCCGGGTATGGGTATTGTGTGTGAGTTTGAAGTGCGTGGATACCGATCGGTATAGGATGCAAATGGAGTTGAATGGATGGCTAGACCACCATCCACATCCAACATCCTGAAGAAAATGTTTAGATCTTAATGAGAGTTCGCTATCTCTAATTTCATGTTCTTCTCTGAAAATGCGCAACAGAACAAGTTAAGCGTCAATAATGTGTTTAGTCAACTGATCATAATATCTATACATTGCGTCGCTAGAATCAATTAGACATTGCTCGATTTAAAATGAGTTTTCGATGAAAAAATCATAATGGAGAGAGTTTGATTCGATCTGTTTTGATGAATCTTATCATCATGCATAGGTTAGATCGAACTCTATTGGTGTTGAAGCAACCATGATACAAGCCCGACATAGCACGTTAGGCTCCAATACAAAGTCGCCATGAATAAGTTCATGTGACGATATAGACCAGATTAGTCTAATGAGCAATGTACTCGAAATAATTCCATATTGCCATATGAATGAGCATTCTTTTATACGGCATCCTCAAGGAGTACCAGCTAGTTTTGCTTCAAAATAACTGTACAAATTGAACAGGCTATCACACATATTCTAATCGACACGAATCACAGGGATGAAACACAACTAACTTCATATCATACAAATTCTTTTTGAGATAGAGCTCGATTTATTGACTTGTACAAAATTTTCACAAGTTCTCTACCTCTTTCCACGTCATCCATCAATATCCTTGATCTATTTTCACCTCTCGGTACCTCATTATATTCTTCGGCACTTTTTAGCACCTGCTTATTTGTAGGTATCTAGTTATTGTGATTTTCCTATTGCCGATGACAATAGCATTGGTTTTGTTCAAAAGTAACTAAGTATTCGATATGTCAATTCAAAATAACAACGAACAAATGCTTGAAACCAGTCAATCGAGTGTAGCCGTCTTCCTTGTCAAAGGAAGAACTCCTCGTTTAAGTATATCGAGTAATAATCAACGTCGATTATCAATCGTTGCGAAGAAATTCGATAATGAATATCTTAATCAACAACAAGTTCAAATTGTTGATTCTGAGCTATCACAACCGCTTCCTAATCCTGATGGAAGAACTAATCAACGCCGACTAACACAAATTATTTCTCTAGTTGATAATAGTACAGAAAACGCTGTCAAACCAAAAGGTTTTTATTTCTTATTATTCATTGCCGAACCGATTCTCATTTCTTGTCTTCTCTTTCCACTGCTTGTTCTCTTCTGGGATTGTGGATGGAATCTCGCTGTTACTATGCTTAATTCATTAAATGGCTTTCCATTGACATACAATCTCGATGGAGAAAATTATACTGACACCGAATTTGGTGATTATTCACCTCAATCATTAATTGTTCCTTATGTGATTGATGAAATTTTACTACTCATTTTCTATCTTGGTCAAGATCTATTCTACAATTTTCTCAAACGGCAACATATTGTTGTCAAGATGATTCTTTTGAAAATTCATATATTGATTTTGGCATTTATGTATATTGTTCAATGGGAAATGATTTGGACTATTTTGGATCAATACACTCCACAAGAATGGACATTTATGATGGTACTGTCCTTGGCATCACTCTTTGTATTGATGGTTGTTACAGGAACTTTATCGGATATGGTTTGTTCGCCATTTGTTGTCAGTTATGATTCGATTGAATATTGTATCCGATTTGAATGTCCTCTTGCAACAGAACATGTAAGTATTGTCTTGTTAAAAAACCATATTGATAGATGATCTATTTTCGAAGATAGATCGATGGAAAATTAATTTGATCAATTTTATTTTGTACGAACTCATCATTTCTAACATGACAATCATCGGTTGGCATGGATTTTATGCTATTCTCGATCAATATTTGTATCCTGATGATACGGATAAATCGATTTGGATCTGTTTATTGATTGGTTATCCTCTTTATTTTCCATTGATGTATTGCCAATATTATTTCAAGAGTTTCAATATGAAATACAAATTTTGGACAGTCCTTTCGGCTAATTTTCCTCAATTCCATCGAAATATTTTTCATGGGTTGGCATTTGCTTCGTGTCTATTTCTTTGGCATGGCTTTTGGGTTCTGTATGATTCTTATCTTAGAATCTTCGAAAAATATCATGAAACGTATTTGTTAATATCTTTGCTCACATTTGGATTCTTGTCTGTAATACAAGCGTTTTCATCAATGAATGGCCCATTGAGCACTATGGAAGATAATTATCGTTTCTTTCCTGTCTATCCACATTGCTATTTTTCAAAAGTCGTTTACAAGTTGTCCCAGCTGTCATGTTTTCAAAAGACGAAGACAACTGCAAATGCAAGAGATTTTCCGATGGAAAATTAAAAAAACGAAATGATAGTCATAAAAGACACAAATTATCATGGTTCATCCTTGCCATAAAAGTGATATAGACTTGCTTTGATATAGAGACAAAAAGTATATATATATATTTATATAGTTTCATCTTAATGAAAATTACCCATGTAGTCTACAACAATTCTTACTTTTCTATTATTTAACTCATTGTGCACACTCAAAACTACTCGGAACTTCATGTTTTAACAGTGATCTTCTTCTTAATAAATTAACGTCGTTATGATAATTTTTAGAAAAGCATTTCTTCGTGTTTTCCCTATCAACGCTTTATAACTCCTATTTTTCGAACATTTCTGATTGTGTACGTTCCATTTATACCAACAGCATTCTATTGTATATGAAATCCGATTAGTTTATCGTATACCTTTATTCAATACATCAATACTGAATACTTTTGATGAAAATAATATCACAGTCAACACTGCGGGATATCCCAAAAGTCACGCTACATTTCAAAAACCTTGGATTTCTCTGCCATCTTTTGACCAAATGGGCTGATTTTGATACCACTGATAAAGGAGTATTCATGGTTCATATTCATAAGAGAAACATTCTCAAAAGCTGTTTTGAAATGTTTGTACCTTAACGTAACAAAGAACTTAATCTTTCATTACCTATTAAAAACACAAGAGATTTGTTCCCTTAATTAGGAAAAAATACACGGCATATAATCAGTACCATTTCATCTCATACTTACAGTAGAGTTGAAATGTCTTGTTACTCAGTGTATTCTGAAAGTTTAAGAAGTAAGTCGCAAGAATTTATTGACAAAATGGCAATTTTGGTTTTTCATAACTCTTGAAAGGTTACAGTTCTTTGTTAAAGCCAATTATAAATACTTTATAACAACTATTGAGAATGTTTTTCTTATGAATATGAATTACGAATACCCCTTTATCTGTGATAAAAAAATCAGTCCATTTGATCAAAAGTTGGCGAAGAAACTAAAAGATTTTTGGTGTGTTGTGTACCTTTTGGGACATTCTGTATAATGATTTGAACAGCAATGCGGATATAATTGAAAAGGAGCAGAAAAAAAAATGTGAGCCTTCACTTATTTTTGTTATCACAATAATATTTTATTATTTCACTATGAGACCTTTTAACATAACTGATTCACCTATTAATATGAGAACGTCATTAAACGAAACATGAATTTGAGCAGTGAATGAATCTTCTCTCACAACATTAGGAAAGTAATCCCAAACATATATGATAGAACAATTAACTCAAACTTTTTTAATGAAACTAACAAGAATGGATAGATATCTTGTTAAAATTGTTCGCTCTATGCGTTGTATTCTAGATGACAAGAAAAAGTTGTGGATGTGAATTTTCTCATTATAATCAATTATGCCAACACCTCTTTTATGTTTAAGTTTTTTCACTTCAGATTAATTTATGCATTGAATTTCATCGAATGCATTTTCTATTTTTTTTAATGTTTTTCCTTTGTTTTTAGTTAATGTTTTTATTTCTCAGACGTTATCCTAGTAGCTATTTTTTTCCTTTCCCTTTTTTTTCTGAAATTAAATGCAGTAGAAAGTATGGGGTGATAATAGTTAATTACGTAGTTACATAAGTCATGCGAAAAGTTTGATCGAAGGAGAATGTGACTGGGATAAAGATTTTTCTCTGAGAGGGATGGATGAATTATTCCCTTTGGGATCTTTTGCACAAATCCCGCTTTCAACAGGTCTTTTGAGCAGGCTCTAAAAGCTCGATCAGAAACTATTATGGTGACCTTCGAACGTGTTCATTCACTTCAGACTCATATACATATCATGCATACTTGAATATACACCATGCATAAACGGTCTTCACACTGTCACGACAATGCAAAGGTAGTTCTTGGCTGCGTGCAAATAGTATTGGAATGAAATTCATTCTTCTTCGAATATCCATTTGCTTGTGATTGATCACTATTTATTCGATAGAAATGGAAAATGAATTATGTTTATGAGTCTATTCAATAGAATAGCGTTGAACTCGATCATTTCCATGATCGACGACATAAAGATTGCCATGTTGATCCAAGGACAAACCCCAAGGATTGCTCAACTGATTTGCTCCTTCTCCCTCCCCATTGCCACCCACAATTATAGTACCTTGCTTTGCTCCATTATGCCAACTCATTACTCGACCATTTCCCGCATCTGCCACATAAATAGTATCCCATGCGTCAACGAACAATCCTTTCGGGTACATCAGATGTGCCATAGTCTGTCCTGTACCTTGACCTCCAGCAACAACAATTCCTTCTTTTGCATCTTTATGCCATTTAATCACACGATGATTTTTGTAGTCCGATACGTAGACAGTCTTTTGTCGATCGACAAATATGTAAGTCGGCCAGTGAAGTTGATTGAGACCATCACCTCTACCGTGGCCACCGGCCACAATGATTCCTTTTGTCTCTCCCATTTGATATCGTCTGACTTCATGTTTTTCGAAGTCAGAGACGTAGAGACATCTTTGATTATCCATGGCTATTCCAAAACAATCTATGCCCTCAAGGAGAATTTCTCCTTGAGTGGTACCGCTACAACGAGACCATCGTACGACTCGTCGATTGTGCCACTCGCTGATAATGAGACTATTCGTCTCTTTGTCGATCAGCAAATCAGTTGGAAAATGCAATTGGTCCAATCGACAACCAAGACCATGGCCACCAGCTACCACTTGTCCATTCGTATCATCCTTCTTCCATTGAACGACGCGATAATTCCATGCATCAGCGATAACTATCGTTTCATCATCATCAACAAAGAGACCAAAAGGACGGTCGAGTTGATTAATGGCATTACCTTCTCCGTGACCTCCAGCAACAGTCACTCCATTCTGAGTCCATCGAGCATTAGCTGGAATATTGAAAGCCACTACAGTGAATAAAAAAGAAGATAATGTTTATTGTTGTCGACGAGATCATTCTATCCAAGAAGATAGCTTCGAAGATGTTATGATCGTCATCTATGTATTTATTATATAGGTGGACGATCCTTTTCTTTCTCTAGTTAGAGATATAAAATTCATGTTTTTCTGTCTGTAGTGAAGAGAAATTACCACTAATGTTTGTCTTCTCTTTGGTGAAGGTTTGTTGTCCTTATTGTGATCACTAGTTTCTTTTGGTGTTCTTTTATTTTATAGGACAGTTTAAGTTTATATGAATTTTTTAAAATAAATGAAGAAGAAACTCAACAAAAAGAACTTGGTAAAACTTCCGAGTATGTGTTTAACACTGTCCAGAACTTCTTTTCCATCACACACTAAATGAAAGAGATTTTTGTGCAAAGCTTGAAATTTTTTTCGATTCCTGTAAGAAAAGATTTCGAAAAATGGATTTCTTATCGATGCATACATCTATACCACTTAGACTGATTGACTTATGGCTAGATCCTTAGATAGGGAAACGCAGTTTTCAGTACAGGAAAATTAACCAAAAGAATGTTTTACAACGAGAATACTCGCCGTCACATATCGTGTCTATTAACTGAGAGGAGTTATCAATAGCAATGGGATTTCATATAAAAGTTGTTCTCAAAGATTAATTCATAATCTTAAATTCGATCAAGCTACTTCTTATCAGTGCATCAAAAAAGAATATGTGATTTTTGCATGCATTCTTCATAACAAAACAGTTTTCTCTGTAAACACCTCTATTTTTCAATATCAAAAACATATCTAATGGAGAAACAAGATTGTGAAAAACTTTGTATAGATTTTCATGGATATTTCTATATCTATTAACCAATTAACAAGTGAGAAAATTTACTGGCATCGTATAAGCTATTCTTAAGACCATTGACAGTCTCGTGTTCTTACATATATATTTGGTATTAAACACTTGAACTTCGAAAAATTGTCGAACAATTATCTATCACCTTCTCTTCATACTCAAGAAACTCCAGAGATTATAACTACGCACTCTTATAATGGTAAAAGGTCACGATTTTCAGTAGTAAAACGAACAACAATCAACGTTTTGAACAATGGTTACTAAAGCTGATCTCAAATGACTATTACCGACTCAATCGTTTACAGTACTTTATTATAATTCTTTCTTCTCCAGCCTTTATTGAATACTGTTGATTACCCAGGTCAAAATACATGATATCTACGCATTGAATAAATTTAATATGTGTGGTGATTTTTCTTAGTACTGAACATTCAGAGAAAAATTTATCATGAATGTTAAATGAGAAGTCCATTTATGGATGAATATTCAAAATGCTAACTGATGAACTAACATTATTCAATTGTATAACCGTTATCGGATTCTACATGTTAACGATTTTTTTCTCTTTTTCACAATGCTTTTTGTGTTTTCTCTAGCCTTCTCAACGTACATCTTGATTTATGCCACAACTCTCAGTATATATACCTTCTTATTAGTGGTAATCAACTGGTCGTTTTTATGTGTTCAAATATTTGATGAAATGTTTATCCTATTATTGATAGTACATTGATTGTATTCTCGATTTAATAAGTAAACTTCGCTTCAGTCTTTCGCTCTATTCCGATTTCTACGCATTTCAGTTTTCTCGCTATGCGCTTGAATGCTATTTTTTTCTACTATTGAACAAATAAACATGTTTAGATAAGTTAAGTAGTGAAAAATAATGCTAAATACATCATTGTTTTGAGGGAAAAAATTAAAAACTTACGATAATATACAATTATTGTTCCAAAACTAGAACGTTAGTCTAGGAGTAATGAATGTAATGTAATTTTCTTGTGAAATCTAGTTCTTCATAGACTTATTACAGAGGATATGGAATCCTTATCGTTCAAAACAAGTCGATCTGGACCTAACAGTTGATCTATGGGAGTGACAGTGTGATGGAAGACAATACCAACACCCACATTCGCACTTGATTATATCTATCTCACTTTCAATTATCTTTCATTTCGTATTAGCTTTTTTTTCTGCTCACTTTCGGGCATAGGTCGATACACTCAAGTTTTAAATCCTTCCCGAGTCCCTGCGCAATGCGCGAATAAGACTTTTGGTCCACCTGCTAATTCTTCACCAGCAAGGTTTTAAATTCAAATCATGTCTGTCGCTTCTTCAAAGAACGACATACAAGTGTAGATTGGAGAAAAATTGACGCTTTTGGGGATTTTCAAAGAAGAGAATAGAACGGATGAGACTAACTATGTAAAAGACGGAACTCAGTCCAAGTCAAGAAAGCATAACCTCCCAATATCCAAGTTCACACTTACGCTTCTTTGTGGATCGGGTGTTCGATCGTAGCAGATTTGATCCTGTGTCTTCTTGATTTGCTTGTTGAATTTCCGGTGGTATCAAATATACATCTGGTCTACGTAACGCACTTATAGTATAAGGGATTTGTTTATTTCTTGTTTCTCTAGCAACTGCATGAGTTACATCAATCATTACAATTGTTATATTTTCACCTGGCGTCAACAGATGTTGCAACAGATGATAAGTAAAAACCCCATTTCGTCCGTTCGATGATGTAATTTCGACGGCCGTTTTTCCTGGAGCACAGGCAAAAACAATCAATGAATCAGCTAAAGCGGACATTGGAGCCATTCCTATAGATAGGTCTGCACTAGTTATACTTCTAGGCAAACTTGGCAACCAATACGATCGGCAACAATCGAGAAAAAATAAAATGGCAAAAGGATTTTTAGCAGATATCAGTTCAAGAACTCGCTGCGCATTCATAGCTTGATGTTTCAAATCAATGAACTCTCTAATGAGATTATCATCGCATGGTATTAAATAGTTCTGCTTTTCCCATTGCACTCCATGACCAGCAAAGAAAAAGAGAACAAAATCATCAGGCATGATACGATTCATAAATTTTTTTATGCCGTTATCCATATCCTCATAGTTGGCATCCACTTCAATGCGCACACGAAATCCAACTTTTGCCAGTTGATTGCTCAAGTCTATAGCATCATTAACACAATTGGTGAGTGGTGACTCTGTATAGTTATTGTTTCCAATCACAAGGGCAAGTTTTCGGTGCTCGGTACTCACAACTGCTTCAGCTGCTGCATACATAACGAACTGGTGTTATTCTAAAGTATGTGTAAATAAAAGAGGTGAATAGTTTATGTCGTGTCGTATTTGAAATAAGAAGACGACACAATATGCAGAAAACTCGAGTACTCATAGAATACAATCAATGACAAAAAATAAATAAAGCTCAACATTTAATTAGAATGAGAATATAGTGAAACGATTCCAACTATTGTCAATTATTTTTATATTGCTCAAAGGTTCAATTGAAGCATTAATAAATCAGAGAAAATTTAAACTTCTCTCTAAAGTATAGCCCTCTCAGGTACTTTCCAGCGATGGGATCATGCTTGATTATAGGGTTTTCTAGTGCTCTATCAGAGAAACACATTAAACCTAATATTTATCATGTTGCACACAAATGACTGACATATCTTCTCAACAAAGTTAACATCGTTTCTAATATTCCTATTAGTGATCGACAAGAGTTAAGTTTTGGGAACCTCTCCTGAGCTGAGTCAAATATTTTTCTGCAAACAAATCTAAAGTTGATCAGTTTAAAAATATCGTCATCGGATTCGAACTATCAGGGCAGCAGAAGAAATCGACCTCATAGTATTTCTCAATTTTCTATTGTTCGTTTCATCTGATTGAATTTATATTAGATGTCCTGTTCGATGCTCTTCGAAATGATATACATATATAGAGTGTAGTCATAAGACTTAACATACTGTCGTAGTAAGGAAGAAATCGAAATGATTCCAAATTTTTGCAAAAGTCACAACTTTCCAAAAATAATGTTCAATGTAAAAATTCGTGTTTGAAGTGACAGAAAACCAGCTCTAATTTGTTTCTTAGTACATTTTGAGATTATCTAATGATTGGGATAAAATTTATTTCGTTTCTCATTCATTCGATATCGTAAAAGTGTCTAGTTAAAAATTAATAGCCAAAAACTAAAAACCAGGATCGATCATAGCTTCAGCGCTTTGATTAGTTACAGAGAACGTACACTTAAACATGTCACGTGCGAATACAATAAATAACTGATTTTTCTTCAAAATGAGTAGCAAGCCAGGATCATTTTGACAAGCTTGAGTTGTGTATAGAACATTCTTTGTTCTCTATATGTACTGAAATTCAACTCTATATTTTGCGTGGCGTTTAGTTTATGTTTAAAAAAAAACAATGAAAAGGAATCTAAAGCTCTTGAAACACATACGTATGTGTTTGTGTGATTCTTTTTCCTTGTAACAGTTTATCTCATATTTTGTTGATAGGAGTGTTATTTATTTGAAAATGATTCCTAATGGACATGAATATTCTAATGCTCTTCAAACAAGTGATCGAAAAGTTTTTGAAAGGCAATTCATAACATCAAATAACTTCTGAAATGATGATTCAAAGAACTTCTTATGATCACGAGCGTGATTGTTATCGCTACCACTGACACTGATTTCTATCGGGAGGAAAGAGACGCAACAAAATTCAGTGATTAAATATGTAGGAAAATGACACAGTAGAAATAAAGTGTCTCATAGGCAGAAGTCAAACAGAAAAAATAACACTGTTGAAATAGGATAGATCCTCTTGGATGTATAAGATCAAGTAACACGAAACTAACAAAATAGTTTGGGCACAAAACTAAAAAAGAATCTCACCAGAGACGTGATTATGATTATGGATAATCCTGATAAATGCTGCTGATTGAAGTGCGTTTTGTTCTGTTTTTCTGAAAAGAATTTCTAACAATGCAAGCTACTCTTATACTGTTTCCAAGGTGACTCATATTACAGTATTTGATTTGATTGGCTTCAAAGAAAAGAAAAAAATATACTTATATTTTTTCAAAGCATTTTCTCAAGTTATAAAAGCAGTGGCGTATAAAGTATGGTCCTGTTCTGTGCACAGTTGTATCATGGAAACAGCTCTCTTTCTCTTTTCTTTTCCGTTTTAGCCAAGCTGAAGTTGTATAAGAAATTATTCTCCATATACACAGAACGTCTCACGATATTCTCGGTAAAGAAACGCAGCGCTCCATTTAGCCAGAATCGTAACAACCAGAATGAGAATGCTATATTTTGTGTCGACTTCCTTTCATAGTTTGTGTATGGATTTCAATGGATGTTCATCTACGATAGTGAGTGTCAACTTAACGAAAAACTTTTATTTGTGAAATTCCAACAATCTCCACTTATGACTCAAACTACTATAGAATGAAAACTAACACACTTTCCACTCAAGCAATATCTTTCAGTTGCTTTGTATGATACATAGGAATACTTGTTACAACGATGGATTATAATGATTTATAAGGCAGGAAATGAAAAGCACTCTCTTCATTTTCCGAATAGTCTACTTTTTGAAACCATATGACGTTCATTTTTTGTACGCAAAAAAGATGAGTTCATTGATAGTGTGTCTACAATATTTTTATTTCATTTCCAAATAGACGTTAAGATATTCATGGGCTATTTAAAAGATGATTGAAAATGTCTTTCTTCAATGTTAGTATCGCACCCCAATCAGTCACTACAATAACAATGTAGATGAGCATTGGCCCAACTATAGTATGTAGAAAAACTCCATTGCATTGGAACTCAACGAACTGCTCATCGAAATTGATTAAAAAAACATCTGCCCATTCATCGCATAAAATGGCGATATATTATCTGAAATTTTCTCTTACTCTCTCTCTCCATCTCTCTTGCAAGTCAACGTAATGTTTTCGATGAAGATCTTTTTCTAATCTTTAGCATCTCTGACCGGATGACGTTGGAGTAGAAAATCGATCAATCGTTACAATGATCGCTAGACCAAAATTATATGAAAATGTTCAGTGAATGTCTCTACTGTTCACTGTGGATCACCTCAGTATTTTACTCAACATTTGCCATTTGCAGAAATGATTCTGAACGTGAAATTATCAGTTGTGAAAACAAAGCCAATATTGAATGGACCTAGCTCAACACCAGCGTTTTTGTCATTAGGAAACGAATCAATAATCCAGATGAGATACCTAACGTGTATCCAATGTATGATTTTTGCGAGTGAGAGAAATCTCAGCGATGACTGATTTTAATGCCAACCAGCAGATATGCTACCAATAGATATTTAGGTGATTTGTAAAGAGAAGAAACGAAGATAAGAATCAAACTAGATTCTGAAAGTCACTAAAACTATGAGGCTCTTGCCTGTTTTGCTCTTGATCAAGGTCTCAAAATGAATTGAAGAACAAATTTCATCTTTGTTGACTTTCACTTCTCAATGTATTCGACTTGCAATTGAAAGATGTCACTTATCTGAAGAGAAAGAATATCCAAGTGTTAAATTACTTTTAGAACAACACTATTTTCAAGATTTAGGTCCTTACGAGTAATGATTAACCGATGAATGATTTAAGTGTCTGAATTCTTGAGCCTGATATATGACATTTGCAAGTGAATTTCTGCCAGCGAGATAGATTCTTAAGGAAAATTCAACTTTCAAATTTCGATGTTGAATCTTGCACAAATGTAGACCAGACCCAAATACATTTGAAGCAGAATTATTAGAATTTTTTGCCAACTCAATTCTGAAATATAGATCAAATTTCTAAAAATAGATGAATTACTTAGAAAGTGAAAATCTTTTAAAGTTTACATATCTCATGTTCAAGGACGCAGATATTCAAATTATTCTTGGATTAGTCATCACTCATAAGGATCTATCTCTTGAAAATAATGTCGTTCCAAAAGTGATTTCGCACTTGAATACCTTTTCTCATGAGTATTAACTTAGTTTTGCATTCTTCACTAACAATCTGGTGACGCTATTAGCCATGTACTTTCGTTGAAATGATTATCTTCGAAGGTGAAGGATGGCGTCAGCTCTCGAAATCTGATTGAACTTCCTGTTTAAATATCTCTGTTCATTACAAACCTATAATGTAAATCAAAGTTGCAAATATCAGTTTTCATTTTTCAGACCTATTCCAAAATCGTTCAATCACTGTGTTATTCTATTTGCATGTATTCAATAAAAGAGCTAGCTTTCATTTTTCTTTTGTCTTTATGAACTTGAAGCCTATCAAATGATGTTATTGTTTTGATGTTGAAAAAAAAACGGGTTCTATTCACCGTTAATTCTCGAAAACTTTCAACTGGCAATTACCGCTAATAGAGAAGACATTAACATTCAATCCATCATTTCACTGTGTCGATCTACCCATTAGTCTGCATCTCTAGGAAAAAATGAGAAAGCTAAGAAAAAGATTTTGAAATTTTCAAAAAATAAAAAATGTATCCTTTTTTCCTATGCTCCAGTTTACCGTCGTCGTTTGACTGGGTGTGAACGTGTGGGTCTTCTTTCTGATCACACATAAACTCACCCACCTATATCCACATGCATACAACTATTAGATGATTCTGAATTATAAAATAAAATATGTTGCATGTGTCGTACTTAGCGACACAATGTTCGTTATTCCCGTTACAGATTCTTATTTTGAATTCAATCAAATTTTTATACATGTATTATAAACATAGGTCTTCTCATTATATGTATCAATAAATCATGTAAATAAAAACGAATTCTTCTGATTGATAATATTTTCTAACATTGGTATCATAGTGACATCGGTTTAACTTGATGTTGTAAATGTTCTTCGTACAGTAGTTAGACAAATAATAGTTGGAATGGCTTCATTCGAAAACATTTAGTCATGATTCAGCTTGTTGTTATTCATGGAATAAAGCAGACTGTTGCAGCCATCTGAACACTCGATATTGGCACATTTTCATAAGTATCATGGATTTTGTCGATTTTCTTTTTTGTAATTAAGAATGGTCTTTCAGACTATTGTCTATTTACTACTATACTGATTTCGCAAAAGCCTTGAAAAGTATTTCTTCAAAGAATATATGTATCTCGCTTGAACTGTTTAAAAGAGATATTTACATAGGCTTTTGTCAAGGACTTTTGAGACGCCCTATATAATAATATTTTGTACTATTTATTTAGATCTTCAACAAACAAGTATTCAGCATTGGAAAAGAGTCATC